AAAGTCTGGAGTTCATTGCTCATCCAGTATTAAACACCTGGAGCCGATCAGATCCTCTACCTTTACTTGCTAAGTTAAGACTTGTTCGGGTGTTGCATTTCTTGGATGTGGAGTTACCACGTTCTTGGGCTACGGCTGTACAATCGCTAACTCACTTGAGGTACATTGCAATTAAAGTCTTTGATTTTGACTTCAAGTGGGTATCTCACATGCACGATCTTCAAAGTCTTAACGGTTCATTCGGATAGATGGGGTTATTTAAAGACATCGCCTGCAGCTATCTGGAAAATGACGAAGCTAAGGCATGTGAATCTAAGCGAGTTTCTCTTCTTATGGGAAGATAATGACCTAGCATTTTTGAAGAATCTTCAGAAACAATGCTACAGAACTTGAAGACATTTGGCACTTGCACGATATACGAGGATGAGAAGAATCCAAGGTTCTGGTGTGAAAGTACAAGAGGGGGTGAATTGTAGCCTTTTTAAATTTCTAGTCGCTACTCTTCAGACCTAGTCGACTTATGCGGAGACAGCCTGCACAGAACTGTTAGTCCTTTCGATTTAAATAAGTATTAATCACAGTAAACAGTAAAGGAACAGAATATAGTATAAGAGCGATAAAGTAAATGACACCAGGAATTTTATACTGGTTCGGAACCAATGTGGTATCCTAATCCAGTCTCCTTGGGTTGCAAGGATGTTATCTCTTGAGCTCTTTGTAATTTGTGTTGAGTACAGCTTGTGTGATTTTCAACGTTCACCACCAACGTTTACATGTTGGTTTTCACTCGCTCACCAACAACAACCCTTTGGTTTTCATTCGCTCACAAAAGAAACGAACAATGACACAACCTCTCCGGACACACTGCCTCTCCAATTTTTCTGTCTCTCTTCTCTCTTTTGTGTACACAGTAAATCTACTAAAGTGAATTACAATACTTGTTAAGAGTAGAATAAAGAACTTGTAGTTGGATAGATAATTATATAGAAGGCTGCGTGTCTCATCTTCTCGGTTGCTCTTCAACTTATATTGTTGCCTCCAATATGACCGTTGCTGATTTTTCTCATTAAATGTAGAATATAATGGTCAATGATATATGATGGCTTTCCTTCTTAAGGAAATCTTCTTTGTGCTCCTTTAACAGATTCTTCCTAATCTTGATTCTTTCCCACAAATAAATATTCTTTCCTTGTGTAGTAAATCCCAGGCAATCTTTTTATTCCATCCAAATTGCTTCTTCTTTTCTTCATAATTGTAAATTTCCTTTCAGAGCTTTGCTCCTCTTCCTTTATGGTCAATCTTGGCTCGATGCTTGCCTCTTGACTTATGAAAATAAAATCTCGCTTTGTCTCCTTTTTTTCTTTCAAGATTGATTTGCTGCTTCCCTTCTTTACATAGATCTTGAAAATATAATTTATTTCCATATCAAAATCTTGTAGTGACTTGGCAAATCTTTTCAATAGTCTTGCCTTGAGATAGTAGAAAAACCCAGCACTTCTCTTTCAAACTCGTAGTATATATATCCAAAATTGAATAGGATATCTTCCTTCAAGAATATATAATATTTTTCCTTTTGACTTTGGATCTTGAATATTTTCTTCAATATGAAGATCTCAATATATCTTTGAACTCCTATTATATTGGAGATATTTCTTTCTTGATCTTGGGAAATAATCTCCTTCCATAATATAGATTGCACTACATCCATAATATATTTTCTTTCCATAGAAAATATATTCTTCTTATATTGAAAATATTCTTTTCTTGATCTTGGAAAATAATATCTTTCCACAATATAAATTGTACTACATCCATAATATATTTTTTTTTCATAGAAAATATATTCTTCCTTGGTCTTGAAGTATCTTTTCCATGTAGTACCTTCCATAAAATAATAGATCTTCTCCATGATTTTAGAAACTTTCCTTTCAAGATGTTGAAAAGCTTTCCATCCATAAGTTCCATAGATTCTTCTTCTGATATTGTAGTAAGCCATTCAATATTTGAAATTTCAATTTCAAATATTATTCCTTCTAGATTAAATCTCTGAAAATAATCTTCCTTGGCGAATTCTTCACATGATATTCTCTTTCCCATATTTGTTTGGATCTTTACCAGTATTTTCTTTCCTGTACAAGAATAAGATTACCACAAGTAAATGTTCTTTGATTAATAGTTATTTTGGTTTGTTATCATCAAAATTAATACGTGAAACCTTGAAGCTAACAATCTCCCCCTTTCATGCATAGACGTCATGCCACGTAAAGGCTCCCCCTTACTCTAAGCGTTCCTTCGTCATGCTCCCCCTGTCTCCATACATTCTACCTTTTTCGAACCTTTGTACACGTTATTTTCTCCCCCTTTTGGCATCATCAAAAGGGTGAAGGAAATATGCAAGTAAAGTATAATTATAACTTATAATCATTCAGGGAGTTATAAAAAATAAGTAGTAATGATTCCCTTTAAGAGCCGTAAGCAGAAAGAAAAAGCTAACAAAATTTTAAGCTAGTTAACAGCTTTTAATCCAACCAAAAAATCCAAAGTATTAACCCAAAGCTAAAATATTGAAAACTGTCGTTGTAGGTAGACAAAAAAAATTCTAGACCACAGAATAACATCATTTCACATGATTGAAAGCTTAGCAGAGATTAAAAACTCACCGAATACTTGATTTTGTCAAAACATCATTTAGCATATAAGACAGTGTAATCGCACATAGTCACCTGAAAAACGCTCGATCATTTAAAAAGATTAAGAAACTTTTAATATCCTAACATGTTAAACTTTCAAGAGAAATTTGAGCAAAGACTTAAGACTCTTAGAAAGATTACAACATGTTAACGCATACAAGAGTCAAGAAATGGTCATATATTTATATCACCAAAAAGAACGATATGGGATCATTCTCATGAAAGTCGTTATCCTTTTCATGACATGAGAGTATTAAAAATCTCCGTCCCATTTTTATTTCATTCCACTTTGTTGCCTGCAAGGTTTGCATCTGAAAATATTCTACTAAATCAAAGCAATTAGTTCTTGCATACAATATCCATGATTTATAATTAACCAAAGATCTTTTGTGGCACTATAAAGAAATATTATGGGATCAGGTATACCAAAATATTTGTCATGAAAAATGCAATAGAGAGTCGGTCATACCTTGGTACTTTATTCGATCGTTGGACTTACTAATTTTCTCCTTGCTTCGCATTATTTGGAATGTGAAGATAAAGATAAATTCTCCATTATACTCATTTCCAACCCGATCATCTACCAGAGGCTTAAAAATGCTTGACATGCTTTTGGTTAGTATTACAAAAAAGTATGCTCTTGCAAATACATCTTTGGAAAGAATAATCGTCAGATAATAAACATGAATTTGTTTCAAATGGTAACTAGTCTTAGTCACACGAATGTGATCAAAAAAACTTTCAATTCCAGAGAGAGGCTAGAGAATAATGTCATGCAGTTCTCAAATCATTTAAAATATTTTAACATGCATACAAAAATACTTTACAAACTTTGTAATAAGCACATAAAAAATGATATTCTAACAAAACTCTCAAGGAAGAAACAAACCTTCTTGTTGTGAAACCTTGAGCTACAAGTTTACACATAATTTTTACAACTTTACCAATCTCATCAGGCTTTAGATATCCATGATTGCAGCCTATTTGCTTGGTACTGGATTTTCATATTGTTGATTCTTTCAGCTTTGCTCAACAAATCTTGCATTACTAGAATCCAGCATTCAATGCTTCTTCATCACTGTCTAGTTCAACGCATAGATGTGTCACTAGCAATTTATTTCAAGCTATCCACTGTAAGTTCTCCATCCTTATTCACAATTTGCTTAGAAAAATATTAGTATAAAGAAAAGCGCGCATGATGAGATTTCTCTACAATTAATGAATAAGAAATATGTCAAGAGTCTTACCAAGACCGTTGCAACCAAGGGAAATAAGATAACCAAAAATTGACTTTTCTTCCCTCCCATAGCTCAGACAAAGTTTCATTCAAGATAAGATCCATTGAAAATATTAAAGCACATATGAGCCAATGGTGACAATTTATGCAAAAATGATGTTTTTTTTTCAAGTCTCCTTTCAACCGAGGCGCCAAACTAAGATGTGAAAGATCATGCTTGTTGCAAGAAAATGTCAGACAAATACTATTAAAACTCGCATCGATGATCACAATAAATGCGTTATTTTCTTATTAAAAAATATGACATATGCGAAAGTAAGGATAATCATCAATAGAAACATATATATTTACCTTCCAAGCTTTTGGTAAGCATTTGCAACAAAAAAATAGAAATAATCAACACATGATTTTTCTTCCTTATATATCTCACATAAGGTGTCCTCTAATATAGATCCAGAATATAACCCAACTAAAGCAAATAATAGAGATACATACCTTTCGTCTTCAAGCTTTTGAGTATTACCCAAAATGTTTCATGTGCAGAAGTGGCCTCAAAGTTAGATAACTTTCTTGGTCTTGAGTGAAGCATTAGTGTTCTTACCAAGAAAGTACTATTACACACATAATTCACTTCAAGAATAATCTAAGACGCATATAGGCATGAGTCAAGTTCGTACGGTATCAATATAATCACATGCTTTCTTATCCTAATATCTTATGCAAATGACATGGTTCATGCAAGACATGTACTCAGGCTATTTAAAGTCTCTAAGTCATGGATAAAAAATAATACCAAATAAAATAATAATGTGATGTAGCTAGTGGATTCGAAGTGCATATAGATGGCTAATATGCATATACTAGGTTATACTTTACTAAACCAATAGCTGAATATATGCAGCAAGAAGAACTTGAATAAACCTTAGTGATACCAGTCACTCTTTTAGATCATACGTCGTATTTCATTCATCCTCTGTGAATATGTAAAAGCTTGAAGCATGTTCCTCGACCGGCCAATACGCAAACATCTTTAATCCTTTTTATGGCTGGACTAGAAAACTCCTGCAAACAAATTAGTTTGTTTTTGGTACCCAAACCTTTTTGGGTACTTCATGGTTAGTAGCTTGTATAATTGGAGATACATGTAACTGTTTAGGTCTCCAAACAAATTTTGATCTATCATGACTTTTGGCATAATTCCATGCAAATGCCTTATGTCCAAAATTACCACAGTAGTGACATGTAACAAAAGAAGTAGAGTATTTACCAGCAGGTGCCTTAGTCGACTTGAAGCTTTCCTGAGTCGACTTGTTTGAAGTAGGGCGTCTACTGGTAGATCCCTTGTCATTCAACTTGGAGTTATTAAGAAAATGAACCCGCTTATTCGGTCGATCAAAATGGTGACGGGAAGATATGTGCAAACTATTCATTTGTTTATGAAGTTCCACATTTTCTTCTTGAAGTAAGTCATTTTCAACCTGATATTCTTCAAGTAGAATATCCCACTCTTCCTTTTCCTTTTTCAACTTGTTATATTCTTCAAGTTGGGTCCCCAGGTTTTTCTTCTCCCGTTTAGTCTTCATGAGCTCATCAAGAATTTTTCTCATATCTTCTAAAGCCTGTTCTATGATACTTTGAAGTTCATTACATTTATCACAATCATGAAATCTTACCTCACTTGTTTCACTTGGGGCCATGATGGAGTTGCTTGTAGATTCCTCATGATCGTTGTCTGATATATCTTCATCACTCCAGATACCAAAAGATTTTCTTTTCTCACTTGTCACACTTCGTGCCATGAAACAAAGGTTGGCAACTCCATTATGATTTTTATCTGGCATATATTCATCACTCCATACGCTGGAAGATTTTCTCTTTCCATTGCCCTTGGATAGTTTCCTTTTTAGTTCTGGACAGTTGGTTTGGATGTGACCATAATTTCCGCATTTGTAGCACTTTCTGTCATTGTTTTTCTGCTCACTTATTTCATTACCTTTTTTAGAACTTGAATTGACTCTTCCATTTTTCTTGCTTCTTCGCGTCGTGTTAGAGACAACTCTAGAAAATAATGCAATATCATCTTCATGTTTGTCTCCTTCTTCTTCGGCTTCACTTTCAGACTCAGCAATAGTTGATTTAGAAACAACACTCTTTTTCTTCTCTTCATGTCCATGCTTTTTGAGATGGGTTAGCTCGACGGCTATAAGGTCTCCACGAAGTTCATCACATGATAGTTTGTCGAGATCACCGTATTCAAGAGCAACAACTTTTGGTTGCCATAAGGTGGGTAAACTTCTTAGAATCTTTCTGACTTGTTCACCACTTGAATATGGTCTTCCAAAGGATTTTAGATCTCCAACTATTTTGCTAAATCGGCCAAACATGTCTTCAATGGATTCATCTTCCTTCATTTGAAACAACTCATAATCACGAATCAGACGGTTTATCCTTATTTCTTTTACTTTACCGGTACATTCATAGGTAACTTCAAGCTTATCCCACATTTCTTTGCCTGTGTCACATTTATTTTCTCAAATTCTTCTCCACTTATAGAATTGTATAATAGATTTTTGCCTTTGAATTTGTCTACACAATCGCCATATGCTCATCAGTATAATCATCAATATCAAGGGTTCCAGTAGATACGTGTCCTTCTGGTTTCTTTTCTGGTTTGGACTGCAGGAGAGGAAAGTCACCCTTCTTGATGACTCGCCATACTTTGACATCATAAGATTTGATGAAAGCTTCCATTCGAATTTTCCAGTGAGTGTAATATTGTCCGTTGAAGTATGGTGGTCTTAATGAAGAAGTCCTTTCTTGGAGTAAGGCTCCGATAACTGTGTGTGTTGACATGATCTTTTCTCACTTGCTGTTAAGCAAAAGTAAAAATGTGAGACCTGCTTTGATACCAATTGAAAGTACAAGAGGGGAGGGGGGTGAATTGTAGCCTTTTAAAATTTCTAGTCGACTACTCTTCAGACCTAGTCGACTTATGCGGAGACAGCCTGCACAGAACTGTTAGTCCTTTCGATTTAAATAAGTATTAATCACAGTAAACAGTAAAGGAACAGAATATAGTATAAGAGCGATAAAGTAAATGACACCAGAAATTTTATACTGGTTCGGAACCAATGTGGTATCCTAATCCAGTCCTCTTGGGTTGCAAGAGTGTTATCTTTTGGAGCACTTTGTAAATTGAATTGAGTACAACCTTTGTGATTTTCAACGATCACCACCAACGCTGACAAGGTTGGTTTTCACTCGCTCACCAACAACGACCCTTTGGTTTTCACTCGCTCACCAAAGAAACGAACAATGACACAACCTCTAGGACACACTGCCTCTCCAATATTTTTCTATCTCTCTTCTCTCTTTTGGGTACACAGTAAATCTACTAAAGTGAATTATAATGCTTGTTAAGAGTAGAATAAAGAACTTGTGGTTGGATAGACAATTGTATAGAAGGTTGCATGTCTTCTTCTTTCCCAGGCTCTCGCTTTTATAGTCTTCAATAGCTCTGACCGTTGGGCTTGATTTTGCTGACCCCTTGATTTCGATAATGTTCAATCAGAAGATTTTCTCCTTTGATTGAGTAGATACCAAGCGTGACTTCCTATTAATTCCTTTGCTCAATTTCATTTGCACCTTCAAACTAATTTGAAATCCTTCCACCAATCACTGATTTATTGGAATTTATTCCTTATATCTTGTACCTATTGATTGAAGATGTGTCTTCCAATGGTCTCAAATATATTTCCAATTTGTTGATATTCTGGACTCCATGCCTTAAGTTCATTCGATTCCTTTCCTTGTGAAGTAGACAATATTATTGTGTATCCATAAAATGAGATCTTTCCATTTGAAATGTTGTCAACCATGCACTAGTATATATTGAATTTTTCTTCCTTGAAAGAGCTTGGTGATTCTCTGCCTGCACATTCTTAAGTAAGACCCCTTGATTTACTCCTTCCAAGATATAGCTTGTAGTAATTCATTCAACAGCTTCCTTTCCTTAGTATTGTAGCAAATCTAGCACTGCCATACAACACCTGTAGCAAGTATATCTCTTTACTTCTACGTGATATATTTTTGTCAGAATAATTATTCTTCCACTTGAACTCTTCTTCCATATGTACAAGTATTGGCTCTAATTTAGATAACCCAAGAGAATTTCAAGATCCTCTTCCTTTGACTTTGGATGAAGACCCCAAAATAATTTCCTTTCTTGATCTTGGGAAATAATCTCTTTCCATAATATAGATTGTACTACATCCATAATATATTTTCTTTCCATAGAAAATATATTCTTCTTCTATTGGAAATATTTCTTTCTTGATCTTGTAGAATCTTTTCCATATAGTATCTTGCACAAAATAAAAGATCCTCTCCATGATTTTAGCAACCTTCCTTTAAGAACTTTCCTTCCATAATTTCCGTAGAGTCTTCTTCTGATATTGTAGTAAACCATTCATTATTTGAAATATGACTTTCAAATAATATTCCTCGATAAATTCATCATATGATATTCTTTTTCCCATATTTGTTTGGATATTTACCGAAATCTTCTTTCTTGAATAAACCTGTGCAAAAATAAGATTACCACAAGTAAATATTCTTTGATTAATAATTATGTTGGTTTGTTATCATCAAAATTAATACGTGAAATCTTGAAACTAACAAGATCTTCTTCCATAATGGTACGGGATAATAGTATTGTTGGGGTAGATACACAAATCACCTTAATCTAATAAATCGAGTCGACGGGTTGGTCCGGGTGGAAAGAAAAAAAAATGAACTTAAAATCTTTTCTGGAGATATCCATTTTTCTGGAGAGACGTAGAATATCTCGACATACCGGCATTTTGATACCACCATTTTTAGTTATATTTTCCCTTCTAATTTTTTCTCTTTTTTCTTTTGGTTTCTCCCCGGGCCTACTTCCCAAATAAGGGCATTATCACTTATCAGTTCATCACCCTTGTCCCTTTTTATTATTTTATGCGCTTCAAAAACTTTACTATATTAAATTATTTAAGTAAACTTATATACGGTTAAAATCGAGCCCACTCGATTTCACTAATTAACCGAGACCAGGGGATAGATCGAGGATCGGCCCCGTAGCATATCAGACCGAGATATGAGGACAAGGCACCGAGTTCGGGATTCGAAGTACCTGTCGAGGTCGAGACCAGTGAAGATCGAGCCCAAACAGGATAGACATCGAGCAAGACCGAAGATAACATAATAACGGAAAGGCAAGATATCTGCGACTGGCCGAGGATCATGGCGAAAATCTCGGAACGGATCAAATCAAGATTTGTTATTTAGCCCATCATGTTATTTACTTCTGTAATTAGGATTGTACCATAAATAGTATTCCTCTACTATATAAAGAGGGTTCTAATCATTTTGTAATCATCTGGTATTCACGCGTATCAAAGCAATACAATACTCTCTTTTCTCTCATATTCTCTTGTTCATAAGTTTATTTCATAACTCTACTCTCACTCATTCAGTTCGAGGTCGACCTAGCTCGAGGGCTGAATTGCATTTCAATACTGGTTTGCTTTACTTTATTGTTTATTTCTACTATTAATCATCATACTTATCAATTGGTGCTAGGTGAAATTACGTATCCTTAAAACCACTTATAAGTTTAGTTGTTATCCGATTTTAAGGGTAAGCAATTTAGCACCCACCGTGGGGCTAAGGATAATAGTGATTGTCTGGTACAATTGTCATAACACACATTATTTTATGCTTGTTCTTTGAAGTGTCTTTGATTTCAGTATCAACATGTCAAACTCCCAAGTAGCGCCCACACACACAAACAACGGCCTTGGTCTTCATGGCGAGAACGAAAATATAGCCGCCCTAGGAAACGGAGTACCTCCAGTTAACCCCGATGGAGCTCCGGCCGTGGACCCAATTGACGTCAGCTCCCATATTGCCATTAATGGGAATTTGGGCGTCGAACTTGAGACTAGCATTCGCAGAGATGCTTGAACAACCGATCAAAACGCACAGAGCGAAGAAGAAGGCGGAATTAGCCTTCGAATGATATTCGATATGTTGTAAACTCAGCAAGCTGCAATAGCACAACTCCAAATTTAGAATCGTGTACCAAGCAAGATCGAGCTCGAGCCGTCACAAGAAGTTGTTCATAGAGCCGAATCGGTGCCAAAGAGATCAAATGAAGGAGAATCGGAGACAAATCCTGCTATCGTAAAAATGCTCGAGGAATTGACAAAGTGAATCGAGATAGGGGAAAAGAATATCGAGGAAAATGATAAGAAGGTGGAAACTTATAACTCCAGGGTCGACCAAATCTTGGGGGCACAACCGGTATTGAAAGGACTTGATTCCAAAAAGTTTGTCCAAAAACCTTTATCCCCCCGAGTGCGGCTCCGAAGCCAATCCCAAAGAAGTTTCGTACGCCCAAGATTCCAAAGTATAATGGGACGATAGATCCAAACGAACATGTCACCTCATATACGTGCGCCATTAAGGTAAATGACTTGGAAGATGACGAGATTGAATCCGTGTTGCTGAAGAAATTCGGAGAAACTCTATCAAAGGGTGACATGATATGGTACCATAATTTACCATCTAATTCTACTGATTTATTTGCCATGCTTGCAGATTCTTTTGTAAAGGCACACGTTGGAGCCATTAAGGTTGCAACTAGAAAGTCGGACTTATTCAAGGCAAGACAAAAAGACAACGAGATGCTCAGAGAATTCGTATCTTGATTTCAAATAGAATGAATGGATTTGCAACCGCTCACCGACGATTGGGCTGTTCAATCCTTCACTAAAGGTCTCAATGAATGGAGTTCCATAGCTTCGCAACAATTAAAGCAGAATTTAATCGAATATCTAGCCATCACTTGGTTTGATGTACATAATCGATATCAGTCGAAGATTAGGATCGAAGATGATCAACTAGGGGCTTCAATTGGTTCGATTTATCCCCAACATGCCCATGGACAGAGTTAAAAGGGATGTCGATCGGGAACCGCGATCGAACAGAGACAGATATCAACCATACGGGAGAGAATGGAGAAATAGCGGGTCTGGACACAACCCCATTCGAAATGATAGAAGGAATGATCAAGGACAGAGCTCCTGGGGTCTCATGATCAAGAGTGGTTTTGATAGGGATACCGGGTCCAAAGAAGCACCTCGATTGTCAGAATATAACTTCAGCATAGATGCTTCCGCCATAGTATCGACCATTGGGCGTATCAAAGATACCAGGTGGCCTCAACCTCTGCAGACCGATCCGGCCCGGAGAAACCCAAACCAAATATGCAAGTATCATGGCACCCATGGCCATAAAACAGAAGACTGCAGACAACTAAGAGAGGAAGTTGCTCGATTGTTCAACGAGGGGCACCTTCGAGAATTCTTAAGTGATCGGACCAAAAACCACTTCAAAAATAGAGATTCAAACAGGCAGAACGAGCAAGAAGAGCCACAACACGTTATACACATGATCGTTA